ATGATGACTTTGTATATGTAACAATTGATGAAATTACAAATATATTAGTTTACAAGTGAGGACAATCCCATCGAGTCTTGGATTTTAGACTTAGGTGTGTCGTTTTATTCTACTTTATGTAAAGATTTCTTACGTAAATATATTATAGAAAATTTTGAAAAGGTTTATCTTATAGATGATGAATCTCTAGATATTGTAGAGAAATGTGAGGTTAGTATCGGAACTCGTCAACGAAATACAATGGAAACTATTAAATTTTACACATATTCTAAGTTTTAGGAAGAATCTAATTTTAATGTGCAAAATCGATAATGTTAGATACACAACAATATTTAAAAGTGGATCATGAAAGACAAGGAAGAGAAATATGATTGCAGCATGAGACAATAAGGTTGAGACTTTGTATACGACTACTATAACAAGGGATACAAGTAGTAGTGGCTAATTCGATGATGATGGTGATTTGATATGGTTACATCGAAGGCTTGGGCATATTAGTGAAAAGGATTTAAAGCAGTTAGTATGAAAGAGAAAATTACTAGAATTGAAACATATTGATTTTAGCTTATGTGAGGCCTATATCTATAAAAATAAAAAAAGATTCAGTTTCCTAAAGTGCGATAGATTTTTAAAAGAAGAGAAACTAGGATTGATGCATACATATGTATGGAGACTAACCCTTGTGACTTCTCTGGAGACTTATGCTACTATGTCACTTTTATTAATAACTCCACCAAAACGGTATGGATGTATTTTTTGAAAAAAAATCTGAAGTGTTTACTCTATTTAAAATGTCAAAAACTAAAATTAAAAATCGGATTGTTCCGAATATCAAAGCTTTGAAGTCGGATAATAGAGGAGAGTATATCGATACAGAGTTTAAAGATTATCGTTTTCATAATGAGATCAAAATGATCAAGATAGTTCCTTTGATACTAGAGTAAAATAGTATTGCTAAAGTATGAATATAACTTTGAATGAGTAAGCAAAAAACATGAGATTATGTTCGGTTTATCCATAACATTCTGGTTTGACTCAATAAATACGACAGACTTACCTCATAAATAGAGGACCTTCGGTTCCATTTGGTTTCAAATAACCTAAGAAAGTACGATAAAAACATGAGGTAAATTTCTCACACTTCGAGTACTTTTGGTTGTATTTCATATGTATATGTTGGATCCGATGATAGACATAAGCTTGATTCTAAGGCTAAAAAGTGTTACTTCATTGGTAATGACTCTAATAATTTTGGTTATCAGCTTTAGAATGATCGAATATAAAGATCATAAGACATAAGAATGTGACCTTTAATTAAAATATTTTGCATAAGGATATGTTTGGGATAGATTCTAATAGTATAGAAAATCAATCAAAAACAAGTGAGAAAGCTAATTTAGAAGACATCGTAGAGAATGATATATATAGGATTAAGATTATTGATGACGAGAGATAAGAAAGTCGAAGTTGAACCGTAACTAGAAATAGTAACTTATACTCTTCAATCGAGAAGGTTTGACAGAGTGTCCGGACCCACTCAAGGTCTTGACATTTCTGAAACTATTTGCTTCTTATTGATGTTGGAGAACTAGAATTCTTTAGTGAAACACCACATGTGAAAAATTCGTCAAATGAGAGCTAGCCATGGAAGAAGAGATGAGGTCTCCCGAAAAGAATCGACATGGACTTCAATCGTATTACCAAAAAAAGCTATAAATGACAAGTAGGTGTATAGGATCAAAAAAGAGCATGACGATGGTAAAAGATACAAGACAAGGCTAGTGGTAAAAGGGCTTTCAATAGAAAAAACAATTAACTATATCGAGATTTTCTCTCATGTAGTCAAGATGATTACTATTAGATTAGTGCTTTATATTGTTATTGTAAAAAAAGCTTTATCTAGAGCAATTAGATGTAAAAACTATTCTTTTACATGATGGCCTTAAGAAAAAATCTACATGGTACAACCGGAAGGTTTTGAAGTTTCAAAAAAAAAAGAGAAACTAGTGTGTAAGCGAAGAAAAAAAATTTATATGGTTTGAAGCAAGCTCCTAGGCAATGATATAAAAAATTTAATGGGTTCATGTGTAATAGTGGTTTCAATAGATATGAGATGGATCACTACTCGCTATATCAAAAGGTTTTGATGACTTTTATCTTATTTTACTTTTGTATACTAATGATATACTTTTTACAGGATTTAATTTTAAAAAAAAAATCAACAAGCTCAAGCAATAATTAGCAAAATAGTTTGAGATGAAGAATTTAGAACTCGCAAAGCAGTATATTTAGGATGAGAATCAATAGAGATAGATTAAAAAGTTACATTGACTTTATCTCAAGAAAAGATATTTAAAAAGTGTCGAGCAGATTCAACCTATAAGATGGAAAGATAAAAAACACTCATTTTGGAAGCCATCTCAGCTTTTCAAATAAGAAGTCACCAAAGACCAAAAAGAAGTGTCTAAGTCCTTTATACATCAGCAATTGGAAGTTTGATGCATATGAGTTGTTAGTAGGTACTTGACAAATATAGAAAAGAAATATTAGAAAGTAGTAAAGTGGATTTTTCATTATTCAAAAGGTACTTCGTGTATAACTTTTTATTTTAAGAAGAATAATATTATTCTATAAGGATTTATTGAACCAAATTTAGGTGATGATCCGGACAATAGAAAGAGTACCATAGGTTATCTTTTCACATTAGGTGGTACTACTCGTGAGTTGGGTGTCTCTACTTCAAAAGTGTGTTACTCTCTTCATTACTAAAGTTGAGTATATAGTTATTTCAAAAGTTGGTGAAGAAATGAAAAATATCCCGATAGAAATGGGTAAGGTACATAGTGATACTAAGCTTTTCGAGTGGTAGTTAGAATGCAAGTCACCGAGCTAAAAATCTAATCATTTATGCAAAAACCAAACATGTTGAGTTAAAATATCACTATATCCGAGACTTGTTGTATGATAGGGTAATATATTTGAGTAAGATTCTAGAATTAGAGATTCCAATTGATATGCTGATCAAGATAGTTACCATTGATAAGTTGAGACTTTACATTACCTTAGTTGGCCTTTACAATTAGTGATGAGAAAGCTCGCACTAGGACTTTAAGTTATGTGAGAAAATAGATAGTCATAAGAGGTTTTTATTCTATTTGGAGATCAATCTCAAAGTAGAAGGTTGTTAAGTTGTGTGAAACTAATGTCGATGTGGTTATAGTTTAGGGCATTACACACACAACGATCTTGTTAGGATGAGTGAGGATCAAAGAGGCAACGCCTTGCAAAAGCTCGAAGAGAAAACCCCGAAAGGTCTACGGAATATTAAGCTAGGTGTATAGGCATGTTAGTCCTTTTTTATTGTAACCCTAGTTGTTCACTCTATAAATATGGATAACATTTCTTGTATTTGTAGTCATCACTTGATAAAAACCTAATAAGAAATCCTAGTATAGTTGTGGAGTAGGCATAATTATCGAACATGTAAATCTTTATGTTATGTGATTTTTTATCTTTCTATTCTATTTTTTCTTTGATTCGTTTCCTAAAACTTTACTCGATCAAGACAAACTTGGTTGAAAAAAAATAACAAGCGCACAAAACAATTCTAGATAAGAGTGGTCGATAAATGCCCATCATTTAAGACAAATTCATATTGAAAAAAAAAAAAAAAGGTTGACCAAATCGGTGAAAGAATCAAAAGAGCCCTATAAGTAAACATAGGACGCAAAGAAAAAAGGAAAATAGGGAGAGAAAGCTATTTAGCAAGACATCTACTATTGCTTCAACATCACCACATGTTAGACTTCGGATTCTTTTCAATGAGATGAAACCAATTCTATTAAGGTTGCGTTGATCCATTATCGGATGCATTGTCATGTATTGCGAATGTACGAGGAATGCTATTTTACACCCTAGCGTGTGACACACACTCTTAATAGTTTACTTTGTTCGTTTTTACTTTAGTCTCGTAACTTCGTCGTTTAATACATATCAATCATTAATTCATTTAATGCATTCTAATTTCATTCCTGATTGTGTTACACATCTCTAATTTAATTATTGATTTTGGTGGTAAACTATCAATACCAATCTCTTATGCACTAAACAAGATGATTTTATGATCATCTAGTCATATTTAACACTCTAAACACTAAATAACTGAAAAGAAAGTCAGTTTACCTAGATAGAATAAAAGGTTCATTTCTCTTTGTGGATTTCTCTCTCTTTTTTAAAGGGTTCATCTCTCTGTAAAGATTTCTTTCATATTCAGGTCTTTCCATCTCTGTCTAAGGGATCCATCCCTCCTTGTAAGCATGACCTTTGAAAAATTAAGGAGCAGACAAAATCTTCTTGAGTGCTTATAAGGACAAGCCACCTCGATGATGCCATCCATCATTCAAGTTAGGCAGCACACAACAACGGAATAATTTTTAATTTGTTATAGGGTCTGATAAGGATTGGACGCTGAAGCCAAATCAGCACCCTAGAAATCCTAGGGCCGCCACAAAACCTAACCTTTGGATACAAGGCAAGAAAACTTTTGCATTATTGCAGACGATGTTTCATATTAAATGGCATTTTTTCAGTCAAATCTCCCACAGAAAAGGTATTAAAGTTTTGAAAAGATACCTACTCGTAGTTTCACTTGATTAAATGGACTATCAATTCCAATCTAATAAACCAATGGAATCTTATAGATTGCGGTTCAAGATCCTAACTTGAATTAAATCCACAGTTGACATGTTAATTAAACAGATAGGAGATAAAAGATGAGATAAAAAAAGCGATATCCAAATTCAAGTTCATATATAAAATAATGACAATCCTTCTTATTTTAAGATCAGATATAGGATGGAAATCTTTAGTCTAGATGATCTTAGAGATCCAAAGCATGACACAAAGTGAGAAGAGCACAATGGTACAGGTTAAAGGAAATCAAATCCAACTACAACAGTGAAAGTAACCAAAACGCCCACTATTATGGCTAAAAAGTGAACTCAGTTTTTCTTAACGCCAGCGACCGGAGCTTCAGCTTTTTGTGCTGGTGAGTTCTGCTCGTCCCATGCTTGAATCCAGGTAACCATGGCATCACCAAGTTTCTGAAAGTAAGGATCAATAGGACCAAGCTTTTCCTTGACCAGTTTGGAAAGCTCAAGGTAGCATTGCTGCACGGTCGTGCACTCTTTTGGCAGGACAACAGATTGGAAGAATGGGATGATGTCTTCCTGCCAGTATATGCCTTTGTATTCCTTCTTCAAATTCACAAATGGATTGCTTGCCTTGCTATGCCAAATATATGGTAGCCCTGTCTTAACCCCAAGACTCAAATGATCACAGATTACCTGAAACCCACAGCCAACAGAACATCATTTGAAACATCAAGAAAATAATATACATCCACCGCATTCAATCGAGCGTGGGAATTTTGATCCAGGATGTAGATTTAAACATCGAGACTAAAAGAAGCACAAATTGCATTCAGTCACATTTCAGGCGATCAATATATCAGCAACGAACACTGTCAACCAGTAGCATTAATTTTTCACCGTTAATCCTATAAGCAATTAGGTAGCAAAAAGATCAAAAGAAACGTTACCTTGGCACACCAGCCAGCCCACATATCATCATATCTTCCAATGGGTTGACCTTCACCCATGAGTCCAAAGTACATTGCAGGGCCAATCAATTCCCTGTCGAAAGCAAGGTTCATTCCACACATTGGGAATAAGGTGCCTTTTGGGATTGTCAAAACAGCATCCACATACCTGTGTGAGCTAAAATTAACGTACAATTAGACAAACATTTAGCCAAAAGCACACTTGCTTCTTTAGAGATTCTGAATAAAAACGAAACAATGCACACAAGGTTGATTTCAATTGACACAGAGTAAAAAATCACTGCCAAGAGCAAGAAGCAAAAACCAAAGTGCAATTGATGCAGAGTTAACCTAGTGTTACGTTCAAGGGGCTTGACAAGCTGAGTTGGGGCATCATAATCAGGAATGTTAAGCCAAAGTCCATGAGAGATAGCAGTAGGCACACCTCCTCTCAGGCTAAAAGGGTATCCTCTCACAAAATCAACACCTTCTCTAAACGGATCATAAAGGGTATTGAAGAAAAATGGTGTAGAAGGTGTCAGCAAATTCTGTATATGCTGAGCCAATGCATTGATCTCCTTCCCACTTGGATCCCTAGCCACCTTCAAAAAAAAAAAAAAAAAAAAAAAACCGAGACAATAAATCTTTTTGTGAAAACCTCAATGTGGGCCCCGCTTGGTCCCCCACCAAGTTGACTTCTGATAAAAATCTTACTGGTAAAAAAAAATGCAAGACAGAACTGAGAAAAAGAACTTACAAAGCAATCATCATCAATGGTGAAGATATACTTCTTCTTGGAAACCAAGAAACCAAAGCAACGACAAGCAGAATCTTTGAAGGAGATACAATTAGCTTTAGGACCAAGAACCCTATTCACATCATTCCTATTATAAAGCTCATAATCAAAACCATCAGGGACCAGGATGTTCTTGCTAGGATCACCATCTTGAACAATGATAAGGTGGTATGGCTGAAAGAAAGGTCTCCACTTCTCCAAGAAATCTAAGTTTCTTATAGTTGGGATAACAATATCAAGCTCATCTTTCAAAGGTGGAGTTACATGGGACGATGGTTGAGCCATTTGGGGTTCTGAGGGAATTCTTGCGTCTTGAGTGTGTTTTTGGTGCTGCGGTGGTTGTGGGCTTCGAGAATTGGGGTTTTATAAGGAGGGAAAGGACGGAGAAGAGGGAGCGTGAAGTTTGCGTTTGGGCAAAACGAGGAAGGAGTGAGTTAAGGTAAAGGAAAGGCGTTTCTGACAACTTTTCTTTTGAAAGAAAGAAGACTTTTACTTGCTTGTTTGTGATTTGGTTGGAGTTTTTTTACGTATTTATTTTATTTATTAGGCAATGAATGTGGAATAAATAATAATTAATAGGCTATCAATATTGAGATTGAATATCTTGAAATTTCTTTTTTGTTGTTTTTTTTTTTTTCAAATTCCAAATGAATGAAAACTAAGATGGTGTAAGAAGGCATTTTCTACAATGCATTTCGCACTTTCCATATGAATTTTGCATACATATATGTTTTTGGAAAATTTTGCTGCGTAAGAATTAGGCATTCTTCTGGGAAAAAATAGAAAATTGAAAGCTGAAACGAAGATGAGGTTATTTCAGTAATGAAACTGAATTTTCTCTTGAATCCAAGTAATGAACCAATTGGAATTGCATTTTAAACGACACTTGGGCAACATTTTTAGGTCAATTTGGAATCTAGCCACCTATTTTTATTGCAATAACTTAAATCCAACTAGATTCAATACGATTACTAAAACTTGGTTGAACTCGTTTACTCTATTGATCAAACAAAAAGTTGGGTTCCATTAGTACATACATTTCACATCATAAAAATTAACAATAGAAAAGGAAGGATACATAAAACTACAGGAACATGATTTTTTGTTGCTCAAAGAACAAATCTTGACGTTGCATTATAATTATATGCATGATTCGAGTCCAAATGGAAATTATCCTTAATATTTTTGAACTTCACACGTTTGTAACTTGCATAGGAGCTCCTCCAGAACTGTAATTTCTGCTTCATCTTCATCTTCAAAAACGTGACTAGTGGCTGTCAATGGAGCGTTTTGGTAGGTGGCATACTGCATGCCATTACACGTTTTAACAATGTTAGCTTTCCCGTGACCACCTCAACACACAACTTAATTACCATTCACAAAGAGGGTAAACGGATATTCAAGGATTATGGATCTATCTTATATTTAATTTGTAGTTAAAACCTGCCTAACAAAATTTAAGAAGCCCAAAACTATGACTTTGTTCCGACTTCTAAGACCCCAGAGACACCCACACTACTACATAGACAGTATCATGAGAAGGTTCTTTATATGCCTAAGACACTAGTATGTTTACATTAACCTAAAGTTGATTTTTTCCAAGGAATTAATCAAATTGTGAAAGTATAAATATATAATTTATGGTGCAATAAGTAATGTATTTAACGGTCTATAGACATATGATATATAATTTAACTTACAAAGTAAATAGGAGGAGTAGTATTATTTTTTTTTTTGAAGGTAATGATTTACACTGTAATCGTATTTTATTTAGTAATTAATATTATAGAGTAATAAGATTAAGGTTTATTGTAAAAAAAATGATAATACGTAATTTGAAGACGCTATAATTATAGTGCCTGCAAATAACCATAGAAATTGTCATGACATTGTTTTTTTTTCTCTCCTTTTACTCGGCAATCGAATAGTAATCGCGAACAGAACTTGATATAGAAATAGTAAAAATATATCTTTCGATATTTAAAGGGATTTTGATATCAAGATTATCTAGAAAAAGCAATTCGAGAATACCAGTATTAATGCCTTTGGTATGCTACTAACTCTCGAATTTCTAAAAATTTTGAATGTTGTAGGACATTAGATTACTCAAAAAGCTATTAATGTGATCCCCTTAAAAAAATGAATTCAAGATGTCAAGATATTCAGTATTTTTTACCTAAATACCCTTGTCTTATATTAAATTGACTAGCATACCTTTATTTTTATTATTAATACCACAAATACTTTAGATAACTAGTTTATACTTATTTGTTATATAGGAAATGAATTTGAAATCTTAGTATATGTTTTGATGACTTCAATCTAATACCAAAATTATTAATATACTATGCATGCTATATTATTATTATTAATTTACTTTATAGTTATAGTTTTATATACATTTAATACAAGTGTTAATATTATTAAAGAAAAATATCTTCTAGTCAAGCTAAATACTTTAATATTTAAGGATAAAATAATATGCTTATTCATGTTATTTGTGAAATTTCAATAATGAACAAAACACAAGAAAAACATATTCCTAGTAATTTTCTTTTTCCACCAAACACAACATAAGCATCACATTCTACCAATCACATTCCAAGGCATCTGAAAAGCCGCATAGGAAGCCACTAGTAAATTTCAGCAGAAAACACGCCATGATCCATGGGAGGTTTTCTTACATTGGGCCAAGAATCACACCGAACTACCGAATTAGCTCGGGCCAAGAGCCCAAAAATCTTTTAAGATGCCAAGATGGTAGGTTGAAGAAATGGGTTAACCCAATGCAGTATTGTCCGAATTGCCACCTTCAGAGTAATTAGCAAGGAGTCCTGGACACATGCGAAATAGGAGGGAGGAAAGCGAGACTCCAGTCCACTCTGGCTATTCTTACTCCACCGTCAAGTCCTCCCATCCTAATATCTAATAAATTTTATAATACATTAAGAATAATTAGTGACATATATCATAGTTACTTCATGGGTTCATTTTAAAAAGAGAGATAGATATACAAAAAAAGAAAGAGAAAAACAAGAGAGAAAAAATAAAAAAAATTGAGCGGGCGTGGAAATTTTCTTATAAGTTTTGATGGGTATAGATGTAATTTCTATCTTTTTTTATATATCTATCTCTTTCCTTAAAATAAACCCATTGAGTAACTACCGTACATGTCACTAGTTACTCACGGTGTATTATAAAATTTCTCCTAATATCCCGACTCCGAGTATCGCAATCTTAGGCCCATAGCCCTCATATATATTTATATATAAACAATCAAACTATAACAAGGACGAGATTAGAAGATTTCCATCTCAAAGTATAAGGTCAGGAGAATTCTGCATGATTTTAACGCTATGTTTATTTGGGAGAAAATAAATGTTTTTATTATTTTTCAGTGTTTGTTTTGCATTTAAGAAAAAAGTTAATAAAAAATTATAGAGTATTTTTAAGAAAATATTTTCAGAGTTAAAAAAAGAGAAAAATATTTTTCTTCTCACAAGTCTGTTCACTCTCGCGTTACTTACCTCTCTCGATATATTTTAACAATTGTTTTATGTCTTCTTTTTATTTAAAATATATCAAATTAATTTTTAACTATTCTTTATCAATTATTATTAATTATTTAATTATTTTTTCCCTATTTCTACTAACATTTGATTTTTTTATTTATAAATACATTAAATATTCTTAAAAATCATTTTTACATCTTAAAATTATTTTTATAATAAATATTTCAATAATTTATCTCTTTTTTTTACTATTATCTCAAACACCACCTAAACTATACTTAAATGATTGAAAATGATTATTATAAGACTGCAATCATTTATAAAAAAATTTAAAATTAATTAATTTATTAATAAATATATTATTTTTTCAATACTATTCATTTGCAACGAAATCAATAATTTGTAATTTTAATCAATTGTAAAATTTTGTTGGTAATTGTAGTGAATAATTAGTTACAAATTATTCCAATATTAATATTTTGAAACCAAATGAATAATTATCTACAAATGATAACTAATAATTTGTAAAAATATTTTTTACACTAAATTATCAATTCAATTTTCAGAAAAAAAAAAGAATTCTTAATTGAGTTACTAAAATAATAATGCTAGGATTACTTAGAATTTTTTTTTATTTTTAATTTTACTAGATGTGAATATTGACTTGATTTTATCCGAAGTAATTTTAATGAATTGATTTGATGGTTAAAAAAGTACATTTTATTTTTTTGAATTTAAATTTTAAAGTCGGTATTTATGAAAATTTATTAAAATTTTTTAAATGTATTTTATATTGTGAAATTAGGAATATGCCTTTTTGAAGTTTTCTCAAAACTCGGTAATGTAACAATCACATATTGTCTTTGTATTTTAATTTTCCGTAGCAAACAAATGCTTGGAATATATTTTCTAATAGTTTTTTTTTCATATAATTACCAAATAATAGAAAATATTTTTTTTGAAAAATAATTTTATGAAAAATAACTTCTACAAAAATTAATTTTCTTATGGAAGTTGTTTTTGGTCGAACAAACATAACCTAAGTGAGTGAGAAAGTTCCACTACTTTTGAGATTTCTTTGGGAAATCCATTAAATTGAAGGAATACAACTGTCCCCTATTATATAAATTAACCTATGCATTAGTTATGTAACAATCGTAATGAAATTTGAATATATAATTTCTCCCTTCTCCTTTTTTTTTTTTTTTTTTTTTTTGCCCTGCAGCTAAGGTGACATAGTAGAAATGAACATTAATTTTTTTTTAATTTTTTTTTTAAATTTTAATTCGATTTTCGATTAATTACCTACAGCTAGCATAACCGAATTTTTGTTCAATTTTTCGATCTATGAAACCAATTTTTTTAATTATTTAAAATAATGTAAATAGTCCAAAATATATATATATATATATATATATATATATATATATATATATATATATATATATATATATTATGGAGTGTTTTCTTTATGCAAAATAATAATAATAATAATAATAATAACCTATATAATTTATTTAAATATAACTAAAACACAAAATCATATCATATAATGATATATCAAAAATTAAATAATCCAGGTATAAAATAATATTGAGACAAAACTATTAATTATTTAAATATACTGTAAAACAAACTATTAAAATCTAAATAAATAAAAAAATTTAACATGTTATAATCGACTTATTCTAATTAGTGGGAGGAATCTGTGGCTCCATAGAACATACAAATAAAAGCTAAGTTGCCGGCGCCGGAGGAAAGTGTCATAAAGCAGCATTCCATTTAAAAGTTAAACTTTCGTGGAAAATCAACGATTATGCTATAATAATTTCAGTACCATAAGATCTCCTTGCTTGATTGAAGCAAAGATTCGTTCAGGTTCCTATTAGGTTGACAAACGCCATAGTGCTCACAAATCTTTTTAAACAAATCCTAACCCGTGAAATGATCCACGACTGGTCCCTAGTTAGATGTGCTCTACTTTCGGTCTGCATTTTTTCAACAAAAAAGCATTACGCTAATTAATCATGATGCACCAAACAAAGAAAGTCTAAAAATTTGCAAATGGATTGAACAAGAAACGAGACACTCTAAATCAGTGCCACCTCTAAAAATGCAAAATAACCAGACCATATCTAAGCCATAAAATTCTATTGTTCTTCACTTCAGCCAGACAGCCACTATATGCCCTCTGAAAACTCAAAGCAGCAAAGACTTTTCCTCAAAATATTAAACCCTATTGGTGCTAGAAATTAAAGGTTTCCAACATGAAAAAGTAACAATTTTTCCCCAAATAAACTAAAAGCAAGGCATATGCTTCTTACATTCCCGGACTCCAAAGATTACTCCATAAACGAGAGTTGAGTAAACCCATTACATCCGGTAAAACCTTCCTTGCCAACCCCTTGTGGCAATCATTGTAACCTGAAGCATGTACTGTCACCACCTCCATTTCCAGGTTCCCAGTCACCTCCTCACTCCCTATCTCTTCTTCAAAGGCCACCTCATTTTCATCGGTCTCTCCACTTTCAAGATTTTCTTGCATTACCATCACTTCACATTCAGTTTCAGGCACTGATATTTCAGGTATATTAAACAAAATATTATCAGATTCAACATCCCCCATCATCAAGACCTTACCTTTCTTCTTGCCTCTGTTGTGTTTCTTTGGAGACTCGATATTTTGCGCCAAATGCTCTTCAAATGCTTCAATAACTTGGTGAATAAAATCCCTGTTTGGAGATGAGTCCCATCTGTACCAAAACCTAGTGTAACAATCAAAACAGCCACATTGAAAAAGAGGAACCTTTTGACCACAATATTTGTCGTTCTTGTTGGCACTAGTAGTAGCAATCTTGGTTTTGCATTTGTTTTTCGGATGTTGAGTAACAAGTAAAGATGGGTTTGTTGTGGTGGTGATAAAGATGGACCTTGCTATCAAGTAAGCCAAAACTTCACGGTCTTGGTTAGGAAGAGAGAGGGCTAGAGCTAGAATAGTTACTGGTAGTAGCTTTAACACTGAGTCAGGATCTTTATATGAAGAATTTGATGGGGATGATGGTGAAGGTAGATATGGGTACACCTTGCCTTTTCTCTTGACCTTCTTCATTTTCTTGGTTTATCATAAAGACTCACTCTTTATCTCCTTTTCTTTGTCTCTCTTGTTGAAAGATTCTTAATTTAATGCAAAGGAGGAGGGTTTTTTGCTATTTTTCTCGAGTCCCAAGAGAGGAAAGATAGGAATGGGACCTATAGGGTTTGTACTGATGCACTGTTTGCATAAACAATAGGTCCTTTTATCAGTTGAGAGGGAGAGGGAAAGAGGAAGAGGAAGAGACAGTATGTTTTGTTTTGTTGTTTGGGAGAAGTTTAAGGCTTTTCTTGGCAGCTAACGAAAACATAGCCCAAAAAGCCTTTACTTTAGGGGTTGAACCAGCAGACCGTCTATTTCAGGCATCTGTATCTCTTCTGTGAGGAACGTGGTGCTTTGCTTTTTCACTGTGACTACACATATACACAGATTTATGAAAAAAAATTCTAGTTTTTTCAAAGGGTTGCCCTCTCTCTCTCTCTCTCTCTCTAGGAATTCAACAAATAAAAAACAAACAGGTAAGTTTAGTCTTCTTGTCGCAGGGAAAAAGTCCCAATTGAATATCCATGGTTAATAAAGAAAGCACTGAGATATCAGATGTGTATATCCACGCTAATTAAGAAATTAAGGTAACAAAGAGTTAGATCAGTCCCATATAGTTTTCCATTTTCTAGCATGAAAATCCATGCATGGAAACATAATAAATTGTGGGGTGGAAATCACCATATAGAATCCTAGCAGGGATTATTGTGTATTCTTGGGTACATATTTGCAAAATTCATGGAATTTAATCCACTTGTTAGGAATAAGGACAAATAATTCAATCCATCCAGTTTTATCCAAAATTGGCTGAGCATTTCATCCTCCAGGTGTATGTCTAGGAATCCCATGTCTACATCTATGATCATATCCTCTTCAAATGTTATGAGCCGATTACTCGGCCTACATTGCAGTGTAGATTGAATAAAATAATTATAGTTTGATAGTTGATTGTAAATCTATTAAAATATATCAAATAAAAAACATAAATAACACATTAAATTTTATTTTTAAAAGAAAATCTTGTATTTAAATAATTTTTCTTGATATTTTTTAAAAAAATTTCCACTTTAAAAAAAACGTGATTCATTTTTTATATGTATTAATTCTTAAATAAAAAATTATAATAATTTAAATTGAAAATTTAATCCGGAATCCAAAAGAATGCTTTAAAAATATATTTTTCATCGGATTGGATAAAAAAATAAATTACGAGTTGAACTTATATAAAAATTAACACATGAAAAAATGATTTTTTTTTTTGATATTATTGAGAAGGTTATTTTTTTTAATTCAACAAAAGGTCGGAATAAGCTTTGTCATCCCTCTCTCTCTCTCCTCCCTTCTCTCTCTCTTTGCTTTGCTCTCCTCCAAGCACCTAGGGATCATAATGCAACACAAATGAAATTCGAAATCGAAACAAAATTTTTCTAAAAAAGTGAGAGACCAAAGTAAAAATTTTGCAAAATTGATTATAAGCAGGAAAATGAATAATGTAATTGAGTGTGGATGAATAATGCAAACAAGTGTGAGTGAAACTAAAAAAATTATGCTTTACACTCGTATTTTTTCAATTTGTTTTAGTTTTATTTACTAGTCGAGTTTCTAATAGTATACTTGTGGCCTCAACAAAATATGTTTATTTTAGTTTGTTGGTCCGCATTATAATATTGGAAAATTAAAATATATAAAATTAAAAGTAGAAAAAAAAAGCCCATCTAATTTCATAATTTTTTAATCAAAATTTTATATTTAATTTATTTTTTTATTTTTTTCATAAATTTTATAGTTAAAAAAAAAACACAATATGTGCTTCGTTGTGTATTTATTCTTAAATAAAAAATTATAATAATCTAAATTAAAAAAATAAAAAATGTCTTAATATTTTTTTCATAAGATTGCATAAAAATAAAAAAAAATAATTAGTATTAAAACTTGTCTAAAATTTAACAAATTAATCTTTTTATTGTTGTTTAATACCGATAAGAAGAATAAATTTTTGAAAATATCTACATTTAATTTATATATATTTATTTACAAAATAATCAATAGTATTAGTATAAAAAAAATTTGTATTTGAATTATTAGGTGGTTCTTCTAAAACATTATTTTATTTAAAAAATAATTTTAAAATATTAAAAAAAGGCAAATGATTGATGTTATATGTGTAGATGAATAATTAATTTTTATTAAAATCAATTATCATAATATATATATATATATACACACACACACACACACACACACACACACACACACACATGCACTTCATGATCATACTCGATACGTTAGAGTGTGAAGTATAAATTAAAAATTATTTTTTAGAAAAACTTAAGTTGTGAGGAATATATTAAAGTTAATAGATTATAATAAAAACAACCATAAAATTAATTTTGATAAATTTTTATTATATAAAGAATAAGCAAATAAAACATATAAATTATACTTTTCAATTGATTATTTATTTTAAGAAAAATTATTCAAAAATTTATACATAAAAAAAATTATATTTATTAACAAATAAAATACATAAAAAGAATAAAAAATTAATTTGATGAGAATTTTTTATTAAATTTTTTTATTTTTTTATAATAATTATAATTATAATAATAGTGGTATGGTATGGTAGGGTCCCCTCCTTGTCCAAACTTAATTAGCTATTTGTGTTAGTTGGACAGGTCCATCGCAGATTCGCATGGGAGGTGGGCTAATGAAACAATGGACACATCTAATATCTTAACTCAAAAGCCTAACATCTTTATATGGGCTATGAGGTAAATGGTAATGAGATTGCTTAGAGAGCCTGCTAAGGGATTGGGTCACAGTTTCGCATTTTGTGATGTTTCATGATAATTAAAAAGTGTTTCGACTATGGTACTCATGTTCTTTTATACCCATCTGTTTTGCGTTAACAATATCTAAATAAAAGATATTTATATGAGAACGGGCTTATTTGAGCCCCCGATATTGAAAGAAACATTTTTTATCTTCATATTAAACACAACTTTTAATATGTTTAGCACATGCTTCCTTTGGTTGATGAAATATTTTTTTCGTTATGACATAAAAAAATTACATTAGCTTGTGTTGAACCAAAACTGCCACAAGTTTAATTCTATGCCTTTGAACTTTAAAACCTTAATTTTTTTTTTTTTTTTGTTATGTATTTCATATCCCATGCAAATCACATGTCATAGGACATTATTGAGTATTCGACGAGCGTACGACATAATCACGACACTCCTAACCGAGCATATTGCAGCCGCGTCTAACGCTCTATGAATGTTAGACACTTGACGCTGTGTAGCACTCGTGGCCTCCATGTTTGGGCCTGGGACGCTACAGAGTTTCTAAATACAATATCAGCATGTATTGTGCGCAAAATCCTCAAAAATAAAACCATTTTGTAAAAGGTAAGCAGATTAGGGAAGGCAACATTTGGGCTGAAAACCTGAAACTGTACGATTCACTCCTGGCTTTTCCTTGCTTAGAAGGCATCATAAGCTTATTTTCCAGATTAGTCCTCTGTCTTCCAAACCTTATTTTAAACCCAACTTTTTTAGGCCCTACTACATGGATGTCATCATCAATTGGGCTGGGTCACAAAGCTAATTGTAGACACCAGAGGCTGGTAGTAAATAGGCCTCACAGGATGAATATTATAGCTATGAGATCAACCCAACACAAGCGTAAGACAAGTACCTGTTGAGACTATTGCTCATTTGATCTTTATCTGCCTTATGACAACGCTTTCCACCCAATCATATGAAAAAAGAAGTTCAGTACAACTACTTCATATAATTCTGAATTATTAAGATTAGACTATATCCTTATCAATAAATACACTATCAGACTCATTATTCATATAGTTTTCTTCCTCCAATAAAATACCATTCTTCCTACATTATGGAACAGGATGTGTCTTCCACTAAGGCCCATCAAATCTATGGTACCATGCCACAATACACTCTCCTTGTCCCAATAGATTATTTGCCATTGGTGGTCATACATGCAATTGTCACATCTTGTATACTATTTCTATTCTGATCAAGTATTTTGGGACCCTAAGAGGGAAAGAGAGGGTGCATCTGTTTATGGGCTTCAAAAAAGTTGAAATAACTCTGCTAAATATTTGGGTTGATGCCCACTAAGATGCTACTTGTTAGAGTGGGCCCAGAAAATGGGATCCACAAGACATCGTCGCATGCATTACCCATCAAATAATTTTACCATTATCTGTTGAGCTTTTCATGGACATGATAGACACTTGATATCTTCTTTAGAGTCATTCTTTCATACGATGTGATAAAAATTGGATGGGTTTGCTCCAACTTGTTTCATGTATCAACTCTAAGGCTTTGATTGTTCGTGAGTGAGTATAACATACAGACAAAGCAGACATAATTGATATAAGACAGGCATATGCGTACTACATCCAAGGTAATATCCCTTTCTATGTTATTGCTCGTGAAGCTAATTAGTTAGATAACATGAATAATAAATTTTCGTCTGTATTAAAAAAAAATTTATTATTTTTTTAATATATATATATATATATATATCCAATATGGGAGATGTATTTTTAAAACCGTTTAGAAAAACATAATTTTAATTAACGCACAAATTAATCTAAAAATAAATTTAACATAAAAAAACAACAATATGAATAATAATTATAATAATTAGCTTTTAATCTGTTTTGTTAGTTTGCTTTTACTGATCCTCTTACATACATAAAATAGGTTCGACATCTACTGACATTAGAAAAACTAGTCTTTTCGCTCGTGCGTTGTGGGGAATGATTTCTTGTAAAAAATTAGATTGATTGATAACTATAATCTCATAATAAAGTCTGTACTAACGAATAATTAATTATGAAGTTAATAGTCTATTTCATTCCAGTTTCTTTTTTTCTTTTTTCTTTTTTTAATGTGGGTTCTTTGCTCTTTTCTTAATTATTTAATCCATCCCTTTATTAA